AATGTTGAAACATATATTACAATTTCATTATTTAAGTTGTATCATAATAAATTTGTGTATGATGCTTTTATATTATCCTAGAATTGTACTTACATTTATGAATTTCAGTTACAATTTCTTGACAATTTTTGAGGTTTTCTCAATTAAATATAAAAAATAAATTTTTTTATAGTATTTTTTTTGTAAATAATGCATATAAACAGTAAATATTATTTTTAAAATAATTTTTAAATATGTACTATTTTTTCTTTTATTTTACTACTTTACAAATGATGTTTTTTGTGTATATCCCCAAATTATATTTTATTTTCATTGATATTACAGTCTAAATACGAGTACAAAGCAATTTATATCACAAATGCATCTGTTGCAGCGATATTTAACATTATAAACGTTAAATATCTAGCGCTATAATTTGCAATATATGTAATTTATAGCGCCTTTCTAATTTACTTTTCAATTTTTATTACGCAATTTCCAGTGCTATTAATATTTTACAAAATAAAAGTATTTTTTCGATAAAAATTCAAAGCATTTCTATATTAAAGGAGCGAGAGAGAAAACACTAAAACGTGCGAGAGAGACAGCTACTGTTCGACGATGAGATTATCATTGCCCCTCTTGCCGCTCACCCCGCTCAGCATGTGCCCCTCTTGCCGCGCGTCCCTCTTTGCGCGTAAGGTAACCTTCTCTCTATAGATCTTGGCATAAAGGCACCATATTGATTTACATAGCATGCTCATTGGTTGAGACGGTCTTATGCTATGCATATGCAGTTATGTCATTTTGTGTGTGATGGCCTTATGTGACGGCACCCTTACTTTTCATCTTTTTCTAATTCTAAGAATTAGAAAAAGGTAAAGAATAAGTTGAACCGAGATTAAAGTTAGGGTGCCGTCACATACAGCCCGTAATCCGTAATCCGCACCGGAAGTCCGCAAAAGTTACTAGATATTTCGCCCGTAACGTTACGTGTGTTTTTATCTCCTTGTGTCCCATGGAGCCGTAATTCCATAAAATTTCCGTAAAAGTTTCTATAAGTTGCTAGTTATTACTAGTAATGCTTTTTCTAATTTTATTTATTTAACTAAATTTGACGATTTAATTAAAACTTTTGTTAAAATCATAATATATTATGTAGTTTTCTTATGAATAAAATACAAATAAACAATTATAATTTGTTAAATAAAAAATAGTACTACCGTTACGTCTGTATTTACGGCTCCATGGGACACAAGGAGATAAAAACACACGTAACGTTACGGACAAAATACCTAGTAACTTTTGCGGACTTCCGGTGCGGATTACGGATTGTATGTGACGGCACCATAGAGGTATAAGACTAGAGGGAGCGAGTCGTATGCTAGCACGTAAGAGGCCGCGATATAGCGATAGAAAGGAACGCTGCATAAGGGCCTCTCTGTCTTTGTCTATACGCGCATGCGCTTTTTGCGCTGCTCATTGTCTATAACGCATTTAGGTTCTAACCTCTTG